ATATGGGAAACCTTCCTAGCATTAGCTGTAGCCATCCTTCTTCTGCTATCAAACCTCACTTTTCTAAGCACATCCTAAGAGAACCTAGCCAAAAGCTGACTACAGGCTTATCTAATGGAGCTGATATCTTAGACTCTGCACAACCTGGATTCAGGCCAGTACATTAAAATGGAAGCACCAGAGTGGCCCTGAGTGAACAGATTCATAAAGGATAAAGGGGCAAACATCCTTTTTCATCTTCTTTGACCTCTCTGTATTATCTGAAACTGCTGGCCATGAGATAACTGCTATTTCACTGACAAAATTGTTCTTTCCCCTAAAAGTGGCACTGGAGACTAGAAGAATGCGCTGCGATGGCCCAAACTGATCCAGGGACACATATTAAATTGCGAAGGAAAACATCACTTCTTCCATTAAATGTCTGCTTTGTGGAGTCCAACTACTGTCAAACTGGTTAGGTGACCTGAAGTTACATACCAGCAGCATAGAAAAAAATGCAGGCTTTCCTTTGGTTCACAACAAAGCAAAATGGTCAGAGTTTGGATGAGATCGGTTTGTAGTGAAGAAAATCTGGCAGTCTGCCTGAGGCAGGGCAGAGAAAAGGAAAATGTTTTGAAGAACTTGCAGTCACTGCACAGAGTCCTCTGGGCACGTGCATGATCACAACAGAGCAGTTCATTCTGCGTAGTTATGGGAGAGCATCTTGAGTTACTCTCTGGCTTTGCTCTCACACTGTAGCATCTGTATCTTCATTTTTGCAGTGTTTTCCATTATTATAAGGTAGCAACAGTTATTTCTACTTTCTGTCGCCTCCTGACTAGACTACAATCGCTGGGCAGAAAGCCTGCAGAGCTTCAGATACTCAAGCTTGTACAGAATGCTCCAGCAGGCTTCTTTAGCAACACATGCTGCTATGAGTGCAGGTCACAAAGCCTGTTTTCTGCTTTCTAGCACATGTTCCTGTAGACTTTGTTTTGAAGATATTTTGGTTGTCTGTCAAATGAAGTCCGACAGGCAGAAGAGGGATGGGACTTTGTTGGGGCAGTGGTTGTGAATTTCTCCAGGTTCTAATGACCACTGCAAATGTAGCACTTCCATCACAAGCACAAGATCCATTTTCTCACTCATAGTTTTGTGCAAAAAATACAGAAGTTATATTTTTGGACGAGCTAAAAAAAAAAAACTTTCCCAGAATTAAAACTCAATACTTCATCCACTGGAATGAAACTCTTCTCTAAGTGTACTTCCACTCCTGACAAGAGCCTAAGAAGGCAATTGTAGCAGGTGTTAGCCATGAGTACAAGAAGTCAACATGTTGATAAAGTAGTGATGAGCAGGGTGTAACAGGGTGTGTAAGACAAGGTTAAGCAGCAGAATTAAACCCCAGAATTAAACCTAGGTTGGGTCCACACAAAAGAATGCAGCACCAAGGAAGACAGAATAGCTCTGGATCCCTGGGCTATGGCTGCTTTTGTCTGGGAGAAACTCACTGTGGTGCCACTTCAAGTAGCTCTGCAATGAAAAGAAATGCTCCTTTCTCTAGGCAGAAGAGGCTGCCCCACTGAGCAGTGTACTACTCAGTAACAGCATCCTGCTGGGGATGCTGCTTGGGGACATGGATGTTTAATATACCGAGTCCAAATTCAGGAAAACAATTAAAAAAATAAGTGCTATTGTTAGAGAAATCTATGTGGTCATTTCAGGTTTGAAAGGAATTTAATCTTTAGGTCTATTTCTCTGACTATTGACCTTATGTATTAAAAAAATCCCACTGTTTATAATTATAAAGGAGGTGATAAGCATCAAATGAATTGTTACAGAAGCCTTTTGTTGACTTTTTTCCATGATAAGGAGCAGTTGCTGTGTGACCTTGAATATGGTCAAATAACTCATGCTAAACGCATTGCTGCAAAGATGGCATTTTGGCAGGGCTTTGATGTAGGTCATTTTATTACCAGGCTGAATCAAACTACAAACTGATCTTAAACTCATGCCAAGAATGCTAATAATAAATTGATCAATGAGGTGCTGGATTGTTCAAGAGAATTGGTCGAGGGAAAATGCAGACATAAAAAGTCTGGAATTCCAAAAGATGAGCTGCTTGGGCTTTCATACTGGGAGGAATTATATTCCTTGCATTAGTGTAAGTTTTCTTTACTCCAGGGGCTTTTAGCTGTATGTTGAGCAGGGCAGTACCAAAAAGTGTATATACTTATCCTTATTTTTCTTGACCTTTATGTGCAAGTAATTTTTATAGTTCCATGAACTAGTAAGATCATTTGCAAACCACTGTATAAAGTATATTATGAAGAATGCCTTGGGGACCATCGTATCCTATTATGCTGAATGTTAATAGAATGAAAAATTAATTTAAACTCTAAAGATTAGAGCAAGACAAGACTTCCCTTCTATAAGGGAAATTTCAAATTTTATTTGCCGTGATAAAATATAGAATGATACCCAAATGTGACCTTTATGTGGACCTTTATAGGCCTGATTTGAGGCAGGCAATGCGTGAGTCTGATTATTTGTCTCCTCACACAAAATGACATATAAAAGCTTCACTTTTTTTAATAAGGGGGATTTCTGTGACCCCATTTATAGGATTAGTCCTGTGTAATTTCACAGCTTTAAATGAATGCATTCTAGTAAGTTCATGGTTGCTTGCTTAGCAAGTTACAAGGCAGAGGTGAGATCATGCAGAGTTCCAAGGATTGTCTTTATCTTTCTTACCTCTCTAATTGCTCTCTAAACATTGTCATCTTCAAGTACAATGGGCTTCAAAATGCCTAGAAAACAAAGATGCAAAAATTGTGTGTTTCACATGGGCTGCTTTAGAGGAGGAGCAGCAGCTTGAGTCCTGCTTACAAGTCTCACATAGCACACTTCCCAAGAGACTGGAGTGTTATTAAAGAAGTCAGCACTTCTGTCTATAGACAAGTAATTAAGTGAGGTCTATTATCTCAATTCGCTATTAGTATTTCATATTTATTTTAACAAGTTAAGGTGTAGTATGTCTTTGTGGCTAAATCAACTAAATTTATACCAGTAATTAGCAGGTGTTTTGTCATTTGGAAAAGTAATAGTCCACCATCAGCTTTCATGCTGTTGAGAGCTGACCTGTTGCACGTTTTACATGGAAGGACGATTGATTAATGTAAATGCCTATAAAGGGAGCAGAAAAAATCTCAGTTTTGATTTCCTTAACTCTAGTAAAACTTATGTGTTAAGAGTTACATCAGTGCAAAATGTACTCTTAGGTGAAGCTACGTGAAGCACAGCTTTCTAAGTAGCCATATCCCAGCATGTCGGGTACCTTTCTGCACAATGTGCTTTTAGTAGCAACACATACATTTGTGGCTGTCATTTGTGTGAACTGCTCCTTGTCGTAGGTAACCAGTCACTTCTCACTGACTGCAGGAAGGCTGGAATTTCTTTATGGAAAAATGCTGTTTTTCTAATATGCTGTCTTGAATTTCATCTTACATCTGTAGGCTAGGATGCCTCACTGTCTTCTGAAACTCTAACTCAAGCGAAATAAATGCACAAAAGATTAGGACAATTAGTGACTAGAGAATTAGCTATCAATATTTCATGCTCTCTGCAATACTGTCTAAACACAAGATATGAAATAAGAATAAATTTCAGTTCCGACATGTAGTGAACCTAAAAAAGAAATGACTAAGCTCTTGCAGTTGTAACAGGGCAGTATCCTCATCAGTGGTCACATGTGACTTGCTGGATAAAGAGCAGGAAGATCTGTCCAGTGGGATTATTGAAAGATCACACATCATTTAAAGTTGGACTTAAATATATTGTGAATATGTTGTTGGGTTTGGTCTCCAAGGACCCGAACATAGAATAGGCAGCAAAATGTTTCTGTTGGCTTTGATGCCAGGCTGAGTGCTCCAAGATGTGCTCCAATCTGACAGTCCAAATAGGATGTCAAGCACAGCAGAAACTGCTTAAATTTTCAAGACAGTGGTGGAAAGTGTGTTTTCAGTGGGGTAGCTGGTACCTGGATGTTCTTGGTTAAGTAAGTACAATACCCACATTTCCCATCCGGTGTAAAAACACAGGATGTGCAAACAGTAAAGCTCTTTCAATATAGTGATCAAATTGCTGCTGCATCATGTTCATTAAGAGCATGTTAGTTTAGATGAAAATTATGTTTCAAATTTACCATCAGCTTAAAATCACTTTCACACAAAGCTTCTGGCAATGTCCTGAGTGGTGAAATAGAAATAGGGCACTAAGTAAGGATCTGCTTTTAAAGTAGGTTTGTTTGTTTGTGACAGGCATACACTGGAAAGTAAATTATACACCCCAGCAGCACAGGAGAAAAAATGTCTTAAAACCGTGAACTATTCCTACAAGGGAAGAAGGAAAAGAAATCCTCCTATGTGTGTCCCTAGGTTAACTGGCAAGTGAGACACCAGCTGCGTTTTCATAGTTTGAGGATCTTGATCTTTCAGTAACCCAAAAGTGGACAAATACGGTAGAGAATACTTCAGTTATGGAAAACTTGATGACCTCGAGAACACAAGCCTGCACTTACACACTTTGTGTAGTAAAATTATTCCTTTTCCTCACGCTATTTTGCACAAATCTGTTTTTGGGTCTTTGGAGTTCCATTTTCTTTCATGAACTGGAACAACTTGAATGCAATAAAGGAAACTGGTATTCTGTAATTATAATAATCCTAAGTGTCAGTTTGTTAAAAATTTTATTATGAAGCAAAACTGCTAACCAAAGTAATTTCTGGTGTTAGAGTTTTTCATTACAAAGAGCTGAACTGACAAATGAGTTTATTGCTGTCTAGAGAACTATATTTTATTTTGGTCACTTAGTATTAATTAAATCTTACAAGTAATTATTTTTTGTTTGTTTTCTTTGTTGAATATTTTTAAACAAAATATTGCTCTCTAAGGCACAGTTTAGTGGATGTTTACCACCAGCTTAATATATTTACAAAACTGTGTATTATTTCTTCTTAACAGCACTCTGCACAGAGGAGTGTGTGCATGGAAGATGTGTTTCTCCTGACACTTGTCATTGTGAACCAGGATGGGGAGGCACTGATTGCTCTAGCGGTGAGTAAAGATTACAAAAATGTAATAAAGATATATACTGCTATTAAAAATTGTAGGAAACAAAGCAGTGGCCTTAGAAATTGGATGCTTTAAATGGAAATTGAAGCTTGTCAGTTGGTTGTTTTGCAGTGATTAATGTGTGATATTACCCCTTCCTACAGTAGTGACTTTCGATTTTTCTCTTGTTCTTATGGAGAAATGTTAAATGCAGTGAAGGATGCTCTTAATGCTTTCTATCCTGTTATTGGAATACCAATGTAGATATTATACCTCTATTATCGTTTTTTTTTCTTCAATCTTTCTACTTCAAATTCTTCATTAAGAATTTTGTGTAGTAGTTGGGGTATTTTCTAGACAGAATACTTGTCCAATGGAAGCCAGTGGGAGTTTTACCATTGACTCTTCATGCAGCTCAGGTTCTTCCTTCTGACTTGAATCCACACCCTGAATTATCTGTACTGCGCAAGGTGGGAAAATGGGAGAGATGGGAGTTCTATACTGTTTACTAGAAAATCAATTCACACTTTAGGCTTTCAGTTCTTTCAGTTGGAGAAGATTTTCATATAGAAGTTTCTTAATTGACAAAGGTAAGTTTAAGTCTCCGTGACTAGTTCATGTTAGAGTGAGACAGCGAGCATTCTTTCTGGTAAAAACATCAGAGATGGATGTAAAATTGGTCCAGTCAATTACTGACATAACAGAAATAAGCTTGTTAATTGAACTCTATGTATTAGGCAAGTAAGTAAAGCTCATATACAAAGATCTTTATAGTCAGTTAATGAACAAACATTTTATTTTGCTGTTAGTCTCTCCCTTCCTTGCAAATTGATTGTGATCTTAAGAAAGAGACATCATTACCAGGCAAAAAGATAACAGGTAAAGGTCGGCATCGGAAGTGAACAAGAGTTCAATTTGACTGGGGGAACACCTACAGAGGCTAAAGTCAATGGGACGGAATGTTCTCTGGTTGCCTGTCTTCTGTCTGCAGCTTTGCTGCTATCTCCCCACTTACAGCAGGAAAGGCAACTATGATAGGAAGGGGAGCAGAAAGAAAAGCCATGTAACCATTTGGGATGACCTGACATGTAGACAAGGGAAAAACTTGGAAGGCATAATTTACTACATATCTATCTAGAACAATACTGCTATCTTGAGAAAAATAGTTCTTTTAATTGTAAAATAATGTAGTGTCTCAGATAATTATTTTATCCTTTGGTTATTTTTGGCGATAGATAATGATCAACCTAACAGGCAGTGGGTTTTTATACCCTGCATAGGTACTTAGAGCATTTAAAAAGTGAGGAAATAATAAAATCCTTGTGATAACATGGGCATACATCACATGTTCAGTTACACACACATGCATGCACACTAGGAGTAACAAGCATTCCAAAGCACGAATGGGCCTTGGGAACTAAAACTAGCCAGTGACTCATATTAAATTACACTAATCTTGCAAGTGAAGATAAAAAGAAAAAGAAGGTTTTTCCTATATTGAATATTTAGCTTTTTAAAGTAATTAGGAATATTAAAGCACTGACAAAGATTGAGATAGAAACATTATTCATAACTTTTATTTCCGCACTGGGCAGCAATCCAGTATATTTCATTTATGAGATTTCAGCAGTGGAAAGAGAAGCAGTAGCCAATTCCTAAATTAAATATGCCCTGTTAACTTTTATAAATGATAGCCCAGGATTAGCTTCAAAATTTAAGCTTACATTTTATTAATATAATTAGTGTGTTCACTGGACTATTGTGCCCATTGTCTTTCATTCCACTTGTTATATGCTGGGCAGCACGGATTCTTGTCCTAAGGTCTGATCTGACAAGCACCACTGTCGAGTGTAATGCTTGTAAGTGTGAATGGCCTCACTGAAGTTAGCTTTTACTGCAGCCATGAGAGTTACTCACTTTTATGCCTGATACTAAAAGTTTGGATGACTGGCCTCCTTACTGTTCGGAAACCTTGTTTGAATTAAAAGGTATAGAACAGTTATCAGCTGGATTCTTTACAGTTATTGCTCTGAGCATTTCCACAAGAGAAGCTGAGAGCCTTTTCCTGGCTGATGCTGATACAATTAAGATACAGTGGTGATTCACACGTTGAGACTTACCTTTATCCATCAGTAATTTGGAAAACTATATTCACTTTTACTGGACTAATCTATTACCTGTGTCTACTTTCTTCTTCTTACTTCATTAATGTTGAATAGGTGTATGAAGGATACATGTCTGCAGTGACAAATAAATGTGATTTGTTAGGTGTTTCTGAATGGCTGGTAAAGCTGTGCTCCAGATAAACTGAAGCTGTTGGTTACATCCCAGCCACAGGTTCTGTGTGTGGCCCTCGAGCTTTGCTATGTGAACCTCAGTATGAGTGATTTCATAAAGTCATAGGCATATTGCTTTTACTGTTGGCAACTTGGAACTGTTCTACTGGGAAAGCAATTGCTTGGCAAAACGCTCTCTTTAGATTTAAAAAATCACACGGGAGAAGTAATTGTTTCCTGAAAGTGACATTAAGAAAGGGAGCCTGATTGACACTGGGTGTCATTGTTGTGTACCTGGAAAAGGCCTGTGGATGCTCACCCACCTTGAGGTATCTCAACACTGCAAGCCAGACTAGTGTAGCTTTCTAAAATTTATGTATATCCACATTTGATTTGGTGACTCACATTCAAACGTAACCAGAGCTCCAGCACAAGGTCCAAGTGTCACTTCAAAACCGAAAGTCAGGTCCAAATGTTTGGGTTTTTTTCTTCTTTTGGTGTGCTGCAAAGAGTGCCTGTGCTAGGAAAGCATGTGGATTCTGACACTGAGCATAGATTTCCTAGAGAGGCATGGTTTTGATGTTAAATCCAGTTTCTTTGCGTTATTGTTCTCCCTTGACTGGAATATATACAGTTAAATGGTTTGAAAGTTACAGCGACAGCCTGTAGTCATCCAAACGATCTAAAATCCTTTTCAGACTTCATTTCATGCTTTCATAAAACTCAGCCTGTAAGACAGCGGTCAGAAATCTCACCGTTTTGTGCAGCTTCCAGTGACTGATTGTGGTACTGATGGTGGTGTGTTAGAGTTCATCTGTTGTCAAGGTTAAAATAAGTTCAGATGAATTGCTAAACAATTACTAAAAAAAAAAAAAAAAAAGGTGCCATATTCAGCTCTGCATGCTTCTATACCTGTGTTTTACTGCATGCTGTTGTACATCTGTTGATGCCTGCAGGCCTAGCCTTGATTTCATGCTATAAAGCTGCAATATATTAAGGCTTGATTACCATAACAATAAAAAGAGAAGTAATGAGGTATTAACTAAAGAAGCTCTTGAATAAGAAGTTTTTCAAGGTTTTAATGATGTTAAAAATTGAAAGTCTTTAAAAAGCACATACCTTTTCCCTTCTCTTTCAACTTGGTTTTGATTTGTTTAAAATCATGCCCATTATGTCCATGCAATCTGCAGTGTTTTGTTGGTTTTTTTGATACAAAGGCAAATGGCAAATGCTCTGTGTGAACTTACCTGCTCACCTGTCCAATTATTTCAAAGCAATTAACTTCAAACAGTATGATATACTGGTGTGAAGTTCTGGTAGGAATATAATTGACTGTTGGTGGTTACCTGGCCTTTTCTGGGTCTTGAAAATAACCATCTGTATTTGTAAGTATTTAGGCCCCATTCCAGGAAAGCACTTAAGCATGTCCTTAAGTTGACACATGAGCAGAACTTTTCATCTCCTTTAAATGAAGCAGGTGTCTGAGGATGTTGCTGAGTCAATTTTGAAGAAACAACTAAAAATATCTCAGTGAAGTCTAAGACCCTCATTGAATTCATCAGGCCTATAGAGAAGAAGGTTATCTCTCTTCCACAATGCCAAAGCTCACCAGGCTGCATTACTGAAGACTTATTTTTACTCTAACAAGTATTTTTCACTGTGAGGAAGATCACCAATATCTTCCTGCAAAACGGGGTTCACCAAACAGTGGACAACAGGTAGAAAAAGGAAAGTTCAGAGCAAGCACCCTGAATTATAAGCAAGAACCTTCCAAAACTGTGTGTGCCAGTTTCAGAAATTTCAAAGTAAAGAAACAGAGAAGTTGTAATGACAAACTAAAGTGGTTTTCAACATGTTTGCTTTCCTAGTAGTTTCAGCAGAAAATATAGTACTGTCCAAAGTGTAATAAAATGGATGTTGGCATAATAATGCCAAACCATCCTCTGTGATTAGGCCACCTGAGGAGGGGGGATATGCTATTGCTGCCTGGCATGGGCAGCTCAGTACTGTACACATATGTATAACAAGATTTCTTTGGAAAGAATGTTCCGTAGAAATGATCATCAAGAGTAAGAAAGTATTTCATTTTGTCAAAAATAGCCAAGGTCATAACAACAGGCAAGTATAACCTAACAGCAAGATCACATTTAAGGATATAGCCCTAGAGCAGCTGGAGTGCTTCAGTTCTGAAACTTGTGATGAATGAGAACTGCAGACACTGTGCTAAATCTGAAAGGGGGTGTTGCTTGACAAGTTATAAAAGAAATAGTAGAAATCTCAGGAGAAAAAGTGAGTATTTTAAATGGGTCCATGGCGTTCTGCAGGTTTGCTTTTGGCTTCCATACTCTCAGAATGCTTTGAACTATTTCTGAAGAAGACATAAAGCTCAAAGGAGTGCTGGGACGTGTGTGACTTGTGTACAAAGCATTAAATGAAATTCAACTTAAGATCAGGGATGTATCTGATGGAATCATTAGCTAAGTTTTTGTCCTTGGCTTCTGAAGACAGGAGGACTGACTGGGAAGGCACCCTGGGAAGAGGTGTATAGAGGTGTGGATCCTCAGCAGTTCCAGTCCTTGAGTGGAGTGCTACTTTGGTTCAGGGCCTGTCCTTGAAAGACGGCTGTCCATGTTTCCTGTGTAGGAGTTTGTCTCTGCAACAAGTTTGTATCACGAGGACTGCTTCATCAATGTGACAGAATTTGAGAGATGTTTCTATTTCCAGTGA